GGTTAAGTTTTCACAGGAAAAAGCCATTTCTCAAGCCCCTTCCTAACCTAAACAAGCCTCCGGAGCGAGCACGCTGTTTTCAGCTTTGAATTATATCAAATCTGACACCAGAAACAGGCTAACAGATGACCTGAGTGCTGCCTGTGTTGCTCTCAAACTTACCAAATATAAGCCAAGGTTAGACAAATGATCAGCATGCATACAACAGCAAAAATCACATTAATTGTTCAAAAGCATGCCAAATGCAAAGTTTCACCTTTCAGTAAAAAGTTGTGTGTATCACTGAAAGCTTTGTCATTGTGTTTTTCTTTTAAGACAAAAGATGTTAATGTATGAGTTGTTTTTGCTAAATTAAAACCTCAGTATTCAGATTAAATTGCCTTGTTGGCACTTTGCGATAAATAAGTGGGTTTGGGGTTGCAGTTTGGGCACTTGGTCTCTAAAAGGTTCGCCATCACTGGTATAGAGCCTCTTTCTTGGGTAATGGGTTGGATTAGAGAACCTCCGGGGTCCCTTACAACTCTTATTATTCTGTTTTGTTATTATGTTATTCTTCTGTGGCCCTATCAAGCCCAAAGTCTGGAATGGACAGAGGGTTGGACTAGAAGACCTCCAAGGTCCCTTCCAACTCTATTATTCTATACTCTAGTCAACACAAGCCAACTGCCACCTGTCTAAAAAAGTTAGCACCAATCAACTACTCTAAATTCCCTTATTAATGCTGATCAGAGCACTTAGTCTACCCCAACCAGTTTGCAAGGATTAAGGCAGTGTGTCTCAGCCTCAGCAACTTTAAGCTATGAGGCTCTGATGTGAAGAAAAGTGGAAGGAAAGAGAATAGGAAGATCAGGGTGGACTCATTTACAGTGGTGAGGCTGTCAACGCTGTCACCATTGGAAGATAGAATAGAATAACAGAGTTGGAAGGGACTTTGGAGGTCTTCTAGTCCAACCCCCTGCTCAGGCAGAAAATCCTGTACCATTTTAGACAAATCTCTTCTTAAAAATTTCTGGAGGTAGGTTGTTCCACTGGTTAATTGTTCTAACTGCCAGGAAATTTCTCCTTAGTTCTAGGTTGCTTCTCTCCATCCGTTGCTTCTTGTCCTGCCTTCAGGTGCTTTGGAGACTAGCTTAACTGCCTCTTCTTTGTGGCAGCCCCTGAGATATTGGAACACTGCTATCATGTCCCCCCTCGTCCTTCTCTTCATTAAACTAGACATCCCCAATTCCAGCAACCGTTCCTTCTATGTTTTAGCCTCCAGTCCCCTGATCATCTTTGTTGCTCTTCTCTGTACTCTTTCTAGAGTCTCAACATCTCTTTTACATCATGGTGACCAAAACTGGATGCAGTATTCCAAATGTGGCCTTACCAAGGTGTTATAGAGTGGTATTAACACTCCATGTGATCTTGATTCTATCCCTGTTAATGCAGCCTAGAATTGTGTTGGCTTTTTTGGCAGCTGCAGCACACGGCTAGCTCACAGATCTGAAGGACCAAGTTGGGGACAGATCATCACAAAGATGATCCATCCTGAAGATAAACTGTTTCAACTCCTCCCCCTCGGGACGCTGCTATAGGGCATTGCATGCTATAAGACAGGTTTTTTTTCCCCCGTGCCTAATTCCCACTGCACTGTCTTATGTCCAAGGATATTTACCCATGTAGTAGGGCTGTATTACTGTTTTCTTTCTCATTCTTTCTACTACCTATTGGTATCTTATATTATTTTGTTGTTTGTATGTACAATGAGAACTTCTGCACAGGGGACAAATTCCTTGTGTGCCCAATCACACTTGGCCAATAAAGAATATTCTATTCTATGTGGTGGCTAAAAAAATTGACAACAATTTGACTGCCCATAACACTGTCACCTTTGGCCAAAGGCAATCACAGATCGCCCTCAGCTTACGACCACAATTGAGCCCAAACTTTTTGTTACAAAGTGAGACACGTGCTAAGTGAATTTTGTTCCATTTTACAACTTTTCTTGCACAATTAAGTGAATCTGCCTTCCCCGTTGACTTTGCTTGTCGGGTCAGAAAAGGGGATCACATGACCCCAGGAGCACCACAACGGTCATAAATGCGAGTCAGTTGCCAAGCGTCTCAATTTTGACCACGTGATTATGGGGATGCTGCGACAGTGAAAACGGCCGTAAGTCCCTTTTTTCAGCGGTGTTGTAACTTTGAACAGTCACCAAATGAACTGTTAGGTCAAGACTACCTATAAAAATCTACAATGTCACTAAATCCATCGTGTTCATAAAAATATACAAACAAATAAGTTCCTTGTGTAAGTTCTCTGTACAGTTTCTCACCAACCACCCATCTATTAAACTGAGGCATATTTCAATCTTCTTCTTGTTGTGCCATATCCATTATTGGACGTTGGCTATCATGTTGGCGATCCTGTTTTTATCAGTTTTGTCCAAACCAGTCCCTTAGATTTTGAAGCCACGATGTTCTTCTTCTGCCTGGACCTCGTTTGCCTTCAATCTTTCCCTGGAGGATTAAATATTTCAATAGAGGTTCTCAAGTTCTATCAACTTGGTGTCAACACTGCTAACATCGGATGTTTGTGCATTGACAACAGATAGAGATGCAACCATTTTCTTCTTTTTGCTTTTAGAGTTAGACGATGCTGGGGAGAGGGGAGAAATGTGCATGCGAGTCTAGCTAGACATAACAACACTGAACATAGCGTGAGAACCAAGGTTGTTGAAATAAGAGATGATAAAGAATTAGCGGGCTGGAGAGCTGGAGAGGAAGCCCGCACTTCAAGCTAATTGGGGGATGTGATTTATGACTGTTAATTGGAGGAGGGAATTGTGCTTTGATACTATGTGCTCAGGGGAGGGGAATTCAGTTTTTGGCTTCGATTATGTTAGTGCCGATGCTTTACTACTCAAATAAAGATTCTTTAAGGTAAACAATGCCTCAAAGTTCTTTGAAGAGTTTCATCTGTCGGAAGCGTGACGCTTGGATTGTATGCGGCGTTCACGTACCAACGCAAAAACCAAAACAGGTGAGAATTTAAGTGTTTTATTAAGTTTCAATCCAGTAAAACATTACAGAGCACCCTCAAAATCTTGATTTTTTTTTCTTAAAAAAAAAAAGGAAAAACTCCAGAAAGAAAATTTACCCACATTAATTCCATATTTTTCCCCCCATTTTTTCTCCCTTTCGTGTGTAATTAACTGGCATCTTTCCGTATGCTTGTAACCATTTATTAGGGGGAAGAAAACACTTATTTACAAACCAAGATAGTTATAAAGCATCCTGACCACATTTTTAGTCCTTTTATGCCCTTAAAAATTTCATTTAAAAATAATAATAATAATAAAGTAAGGAATAAAAAGTTTTATATATATATATATATATATTAGCCACAAAGCCCATGAGGCTTCCTATCAGATTCAAGAAGAGTCCACCTCTCAGAATTCTCCCTCCACCCGATATTTTTGTTTACACCCACATTTAAACACCTTGCACAAGTGTTTTTTCACACTTGGGCGAGAAAGGATAGGGCATCCCCATCCAAGAACTGCTGGATTCCAAACTCCTATCGGCAGGTGTAGAAGATGGATTTACCATCTAACTGCACCATGGATAAGAGTTTTCATTCCTGATCTCAAAGTGAATTCTTCTGGATTTCTCCCAGGTGTTTTAAGTGCAAATTGTTGTACGGTTCCGTAGGACTTCACAAGCATGCAACGTGTTGCTTTTGTCAGTGCCTTTGGAACTCCTGGCCACATGGAGAAAACTTGTTTAAAGTATCCTTGGCTGTTGGAAGTACCCTCAGTTAGAATCAAAGCTTCTGGGCTCAAAATCTCTGCCCGTTGAAAGATGTGACTCTAAAATCGAGGTGCTGATCACAGCCATGGAAGATCTACGATTGCACTGTAAATATCTAAGCCTTTGTGTGTCTCCACCTGTGGAACTTTAGGGTACCTGCACTTCAATTCCCAGAATTCCTGTCAGCAGGGTTGGCTGGGGAAAACTGGGAAATGGAGTCCAGACACCTTAATGTCGCCATGGTTCAGAAACATTGGTGTAGGCCCCGTTCTGCTAGGAGGAACATGTAGCTCAACCTGGAATGGGCTTCCTCAAATTTTAAAAACTTAAGTTTTGCTTTTAATTCTATACTTGGGCGGGGGGGGAGAAACCCTCTCTTTTTTTCTCCTCCTTTGACCTTCAGCAAATCCAAAAACCTGCACCAAAGTGCCACTGGATCGGGTTAAAAAAACATCCCACGGGCCCACAGTCCCGTGGAACGGAGACCACCATCAACTAGATGGTCCCATGAAGGGGACACCCAGCCCAGGATCACCCACCAAAAACCTCTTTGCATCTTTTTGCAAAGGTCGAGTCCTTTTTTTAATAAGTGATCTGAAATTGCTGTTGGTTCCCACAAAGATTTGTTTTTAAAAAAAAGTTAAATAAACTTAAAAAGTGCATCTCTCTCTCTCTTTTAAAGAAAAAAGTAAAACAAATGTTTCCTTGCGCTAGCAAACGTTTCTCAAGTGGAAACGTTGGACGTGGAGGATTAAGGATTCAGGGGGGACCTTATTTAAAAGCTTCTTTTTTTCAAGATGGCGGCTAATTCCGTAGCTTCCTACCAATCGACCTCAATTGAAAAAATGCTTTTCAAGCTTCCTGCAACCGTCCACAGTGAGACAAGCAACGGATGTCTCTTCCAGAGGTTCCTTCTCACCTCCCCACTGAGAAACATCTGCCCAAAATATCCAGGCCACCGTTTCAAACTCCCCTTTCTCAACTAGCCAGGATCCATCCTGGTGTCGCCCCGAGACTCATCCTTGCTTTTCAAATGATAAGCATTTAAACCAGGATCCCATTCTCTTAGCACCTAGGTTGCGAAAGCTTCTGCCCAAAGGGTTCAGATTCCCATTTTTCTGAGCTGGAAGAAAAGCAAAAAAGCGACATTCCCAAATCCGTCCAAATGATTCAGCCCTTCTTATTTCCCGAAGCGCTCATCTAAATCGGATTTTCTTCTGTCCCCCTCTGGAAAGAGGATCGCTCAAGTCAATTTCTTTGACGGAGATCATCCATGTACCTATTATATACACCCGGATTATAACCCTGACACACAACGCAAACACACGTAGAGAGACACTCACACACCAAGAGACGGGAAAGAGACGGGTTCCTTCAAAACTCCTGCAGCTCAGGAATGTTAGAGTAGAGATTGAGCGTCTCTGGGTTAGAGAAGATATCCCGCTTAGCCACTTCCTTGCCGGCTATGATCTGTTTGACGGCCACTTCCACCTTCTTTCCGCTGATGGTGTACTGGGAGAGGAGGAGAAGTTGGAGAAAGCAGAAGAGAGGAGATAATGAAATGACGGGTTTTCAAGGTTCGCCTCAAAGGCCGTCGTTAAACGTGCCCTGCAGCTGGAACAACTTAACGATCTAAACCAGGGTTTTTCCAAGCCTGGCTACTTTTAAGATGTTTGGGCTGCAAATCCTAGACTTCTGCAGCCGCCATTCCTGTTGGCAAATTCTGAGCCGAAGTTCACACAAGGCAGCCAAGGTTTAAGAATTTTAAAGCCCGAGGTTATTTCCTTTCCTCCTTCCCTCCTTCTCTCTCTTCCTTCCTATTTCTCTCCTTTCCTTTCTCTTGCCCTCCTTCCTTTTCTGTCTCTACTTCTCTCCTCCCTTCCTCTCACCCTCCCTCTCTTCTTCCTTTCCTTCCTTTTCTCTCTCCTCCCTTATTTCTCTCCTCTCCTTCCTGGTTGATTATAATAATTGATTATTATTCCAAGGTGGTCTTTCTTTCTTTCTTTCCTTCTTTCTTGCTTGCTTTTTCTTCCTTTTCTTTCTTTCTTTCTTTCTTTCTTTCTTTCTTTCTTTCTCTTTCCTTCCTTCTGCTTCTCTCTTTCCTTCCTCTTCCCTCCCTCCCTTCCTTCTTCCTTCCTTTCTCTCTTCTTTTTTTCTTCCTTCCTTTCCTTCCTTCCTTCTTATTTTTTGTTTCTTTCTTCCTTCATCTCTCTTCCTTCCTATTTCCTATTTCCTTCCTTCTTTTTTCTTTATTTCTTTCTTTCTTCCTTCATCTCTCTTCCTTCCTATTTCCTTCCTTCTTTTTTCTTTATTTCTTTCTTCCTTCCTTTCTCTTCTCTTTCTTTTTCTTCCTTCCTTTCCTTCCTTCTATTCTTCGTTCCTTTCTTCCTTCATCTCCTTCCCTTCCTATTTCCTTCCTTTCCTCCTTTCTTCTTTTCCTTCATTCTCTCACTCACCTTCCCTTCTTTCTTTCCTTCCTTCCTTCCTTCCCTTCCTTTTCTCTCTCATTTATTTCTCCTTCTCTCCTCCTTCCATTCTCTCACCTCCCTCCCTTCTTCCTTCCTTCCTTCCTTCCATCAACATATTTCTCCTGCAGCTTACGATGGCATTTCATGAGTGATCCACTTAAGCTTGAAGAAAAAAATAATGAGCACCCAGGAGAAACGGGGGAAAAAAAATTGTCTCCAACTGTACACAGTTTCAGCTACAAAACTGGGTTTTTGTTGTGGTGTTCAAGACTACTTTGTGCATTTTATTCCTCTTTCGATTCGGCGAAAAGAATTCACTTAACAGGCAGCTGCGTTCAGATGGATCCAAAGGCTAAAATTAAACACCCCAAAGTCCCTCTATTTGGCACCGCTAAGAACCATCCACGCGCTTCCCTGACAAAGGTTTATAAAACCACTACTGTTTTTTATTATCAGGGATTTGCTATTCTTTCCTTACAGGAGGAACAAAATGAGCCTTATTGAACATGAACGATACATGTGTATGTTGCTAAGCGACACGGGTAAACTATTTATAGCTTTCCAATCTGAATTTACAAAAAAAATTAAAAGATGGCTGAGCATGTGTGGGCACAAGAAAAATAACTGGTTGATTATAATAATTGATTATTATTCCAAAGTGGTCTTTCTTTCTCTTTCTCTCTTTCTCTCTTTCTTTCTTTCTTTCTTTCTTTCTTTCTTTCTTTCTTTCTCTCTCTCTCTCTCTCTTTCCTTTCTTTATCTGTCTTTCTTTCTTTCTTTCCTTCCTTTTGCTTCTTTCCTGCCTTCCTCTTCCCTCCCTTCCTTCACCTTTCTTTCTCTTTCTTTCTTTCCTCTTTTATTCTGTCTTTCTTTCCTTCCTTCCTTTTGCTTCTCTCCTTCCTTCCTCTTCCCTCCCTTCCTTCCCCTTTCTTTCTCTTTCTTTCTTTCCTCTTTTATTCTGTCTTTCTTTCTTTCTTTCCTTCCTTTTGCTTCTCTCCTTCCTTCACCTTTCTTTCTTTCTTTCCTCTTTCTTTCCTTTCATTCTGTCTCTTTCTTTCTTTCCTTTTGCTTCTCTCCTTCCTTCCTCTTCCCTCCCTCCCTTCTTCCTTTCTTTCTTTCCTCTCTTTCTGTCTGTTTTTCTTTCTTTCTTTCCTTCCTTTTGCTTCTCTCCTTCCTTCCTCTTCCCTCCCTTCCTTCTTTCTTTTCTTTCTTTCCTTCTTTCTTTTTCTTCCTTCCTTCCTTCCTTTCTCTCTTCCTCCTCTTTCTTTTTCTTCCTTCCTTTTTTCCTTTTCATTCATTCATTCATTCATTCATTCATTCATTTAGAGGAGGGGAGGAGAGGAGAAATTAAGAACGTACCGGAATCCCTTCCGTTTCCAGAATAATACTGGGCACGTGCCGAGCCGAAAGGGCCACCCGAATCGCTTCCCTGATTCGCTTCACCAGATCGGCACTGAAATCGTGGTTGGTGGCCATCTTCAAGAAGAGGACCACTCTTTCCTCACCGTCTTTGTTGTACTGTGGGACGCAGAGGCTGTCGGAAACCTCCTCGAATGCTTCCACTGAAGGAGAAACGAGGTGATGGGTGAAAAATCTGAATCCCGGGAACCCCAGCAGATAATTCTGAAAACTTTTGACCCCAAGAATGGATGGTCAACCTGGTGTTCTGAAGACCTCGTCATGTTGGAGAAGCCCATCCATGGTGCACTGACGTTGAGAAAGTCCACCTTGTGGTGTGTAATGAATGGTCTTCTCCAACGAGGTGTTCTCCAGAATTTAGGCAATTGCGTGCCCACTGAACACTGAGGTTGAGGCAGTCCATCCGTCTTGGAGTGTCTAATGCAGACATGTCAAACACAAGGCCCGGGGGCCGCATGCGGCCCGCGAAGTGGTTTCATGTGGCCCGCGAAACCATCCTGGAAACAGTGAAGGAACGGCCTCCGCTGCCTTGACCCTGGCCCAGGCCGGCCGGAGGGAGTCAATGTACAATTTTGTGGTGGCCATTCTATGCTGAAACACATTCAGTCTTAGCTCCATAAGCCCCCCCCCTGCATGGCCTGAGAGGAACAGTGAGGCTCCTCCAGTGGACCATGCCTTGGCACTTGCCCCGGTCCCACCCCCTTCTGCCAGTGACCCTCAGATCTGTCCCACTCCTGCCCAGGCCCCCACAGGCCCCCTTGACACGAACGATGTAGAGCTGGCTACACCCACCCAGTAGGCCACACCCATTCCATCCACACCCACCCAGTAGGCAGCACCCACCCGGCTCCCGGAGGGCAACCGCAATGCTGATGGGGCCCTCAATGAAATTGAGTTTGACACCCCTGGTCTAATGGATTATCTTCTCCAATCTGCTGTTTTCCAAAGTTTTAGAAATTGGACATGCTCAACAACCTAACATTTGGCTCTAATAGGGCAAGAATCTTAAAACGATGATTGGAAAGGCACCGTAATGCTAAGCCAAATCTTCTCTCTTCACAAAGCCATGTAAGACAGGATTCTTAAAGGTCCTTTTTCAAGAGGCAACTGGACTTTTTCTGTTTTTCTTTGCAGATGTTTCGCTTCTCATCCAAGAAGCTTCTTCAGCTCTAACTGGATGGCGGGGAATGGAAGGATTTATATCCAGTTAAGAGCTGAAGAAGCTTCTTGGGCGAGAAGCGAAACGTCTTCAAAGAAAAACAAGAAAGTCCAGTTGCCTCTTGAAAAAAAACACCTTGACCTGGATTGACCGAGAACCTCCGTAGACGTTTAGCGATTCTTAAGAGGATTTTCACAAGAGGTCCTTGACTTGCAACCACTCATTAGCAACAATTTGAATTAATAACAGCCTCTGGAAAAAAAACCAGTTACAACCTAAATTCTAATTTACGACTCTGACGTGATCGCAATTCGGGAGCTGGGCGACCAGCTTGCTTTTACAACCAGTGGCAACATCCTACTCTCACATAATCATGAGTTGCAATGTGGTTTTTTTTGCCAATTTCCAGCAAAAACACAGACCATTGGTTGGGCTGAATTCACACCTATGATCGCATGACTTCACTTACAACAGCGGTAAAATGGTTGTAACATCGGATCTGGTCATATGCTGACGCTATTCATGATTGCAATGACTTACAATAGAAAGTCCACTTGCGATTGTGGTCGTAAGTCAAGTATTGTAAAAAATAGAATGGATGGGGGGGAAGAAGCATTATCTTCCTTGGAAAAAAACTGAAATATTTGGAGAAGGGTCACAGGACTGAGCCATAACAACAACAACAACAACAACAACAACAATAATAATGTTGGAAGGTACCTTGGAGGTCATCTTCCTGCAATAACTCCAGCAATGCTACAAAAAACTGCGTTACTTGGAACATCTTACATTTTAAGGAGGTACCTGGTTGATACCTAGGATGCTGGCAGCAACCCGTGTCAACCATCAGCGCCAGCCAATTTGAATGTTCAGTTGACTGAGGTTCACGTCTAATGAATAATAATAATAATAATGAAAAGAAGAAACAGGGGAGACGAGATAGCAGTGTTCCAGTATCTGAGGGGCTGCCACAAGGCAGAGGGGCCCAGGTTGTTCACCAGAGAACCAGAGGGAAGGACGAGAAAAAATGGTTGGAAACTGACCAAAGAGAGAAGCAACTTGGAATTAAGGAGAAACTTCCTGACAGTGAGGACAATCAACCAATGGAACAGCTTGCCCCCAGAAATTGTGGGCGCTCCATCACTGGAGATTTTTAAGAAGAGGCTAGACAGTCACTTGTCTGAGATGGTATAGGTTCTCCTGCTCGAGCAGGGGGCTGGACTAGAAGACCTCCAAGGTCCCTTCCAGCTCTATTCTACTCTACTCTACTCTACTCTACTCTACTCTACTCTACTCTACTCTACTCTACTCTACTCTACTCTACTCTACTCTACTCTACTCTACTCTACTCTACTCTACTCTACTCTACTCTACTCTACTCCACTCCACTCCACTCCACTCCACTCCATTCCACTCTATTCTATTCTATACTATACTATTCTATTCTTCTATTCTATTCTATTCCATTCTATTCTACTCTACTCTATTCGTAGTAATAATAATAATAATAATAACAACAACAACAGCAGCAGCAGCAGCTTCCATCCTGCGACGAGATCTGTAACACCCTCAAACATCCACATCTGCCTATCCCAGGTCCTTGGGAAGGACTCGATAGGTAGACAAAAATGCCAAATCCGGTCTGAACATCTGCCTGACTGTGCGATGATCAATGATAATAATAATAATAATAGTAATAAAAATATCATATCTCTTGTGATCCAAATGAAGATATCCACGGAAACTGGGTTTTCAAGGAAACCAGAACCAATGTGGTACAGCTTAACCTGCTTCTCTCTTCCAGCCCTCTTATAGGAGGNAAAAGCTGCTTCAGGGAAATAAAAAGACAAGAAAAAAAATCCAGAAGAGTGGGGTGGGGGGGGGGGAAGGCCTTTGAAATTGCTCCCACAGAGGGGAGAATTCAAACCAAACAGTACTCTGATTCACTTGGCCACGATCCGTCCCGGCCTGCTGACAATCTCTTTGTGCCCGCCCAAGAGTTATGGCTGCAGTGCGCAGAGAAAGGACGATGCACAGAGGACAGTGGTCCTGTGTGGCTGGCTCTCCCTTGGGGGACAGCTCAGCACCACTTGGGGGAAGCTCAGACTAGCTGTTCAGAGGGCTTTGTGGAAAAAAAACGCAGGATGGAGCCGTGGCAATGGCGCCACTCGGGACAAGGAGAGCTGCAGATCTCCGGCGCGGTGAAAGCCGTGGGCAGCATCTATACCAGTGGTTCTCAACCTTTTTAATGCCGCGACCCCAACCGGTTGTAAGTCGAGGACTAAACCGGTCGTAAGTCGAGGACTAAACCGGTCGTACGTCGAGGACTACCCAACCGGTCGTAAGTCGAGGACTTTCCCTGCCTGGGAGCGCTGCACATGCGTGGTTCTGCCCCCTGTGCTGGCTGAGGCGTAGCTGGCAAGCGGCAGAGACGGAGCAGGCCGACCACCAGCTGGCCCAGCCCAAGGGAGGTAAGGCACCCGCTGGAAAAGGGGGAAAAAATGGCAGGAAAAAAAAATGGCGGACAGCCTTGCTTGGCGACCCCCATGAAATGGTCGATCAACCCCAAATGGGGTCCCGACCCACAGGTTGAGAACCACTGATCTATACGGTCTGTTTTAAGTCCGTGCCCACAGCGCCCTCAGGATGAGACCCAGCCAAGAGCTTCATCTCAGCCCAAACTTTAGACACAGGTAGACCTCAACTTACGACTTGCTAAGCCAGACAGACAGAAGAGAGAATTCTGCATTGGCCAACTGTGATCGGACATACGCAAGGAATTCGTCTGCGGTGCGTAAGTTCTCGTGATCAAGTGATCATCATGATCCTACAGCTCTGCCCCCATTTTGCGCCTTTCCTTGCCGAAGTTGTTAAGTGAACCACCGCCCGTTGTTAAGTTAGCAAAATGCGGTTGTTAAGTGAATCTGGCCAGGGACTTGGCTTGCCAGAAGGTCACAGAAGGGGATGACTTGAACCCGGGACACCCCCACCGTCATAAATACACGCCCGTGGCCAAGCATCCCAGTTTTGATCACCGTGGTGATGCTGCAACGGTCCTAAGTGTGAAAAACAGGGATAAGTCATGTTTTTCAGTGTGGCCGTAACTCTGAACGGTCACTAAACAGATGCATGTCAAGGGCTCTTTGTAACCATGTCCTGATTCCGTGTGATATAACGGGGGACAAATAGAAAGCAAGATTTGGTGATTGGTTTCTAGAAAGTAACATTTCTGTATTCACTGAGAGTCACTGAGCCCTATACATTTTCTTAAATCAATCAATCAAAATAGAGCCGGAAGGGACCTTGGAGGTCTTCTAGTCCAGCCCCCTGCTCAAGTGAAAGTCCAGTCTCTTCTTTAAAAGCCTCCAGTGATGGAGCACCCACGATTTCTGAAGGCAAGCTGTTCCACTGGTTAATTGTCCTCACTGTCAGGAAGTTTCTCCTTAATTCCAGTTTGCTTCTCTCCTTGATTAGTTTCCATCTGTTGCCCTTCCTTCCTTCCTTCCTTCCTTTCCTTCCTTCCTTCCTTCCTTCCTTTCCTTCCTTCCTTTCCTTCCTTCCTTCCTTAGTCCCCCCTCAATTCCAGTTTGCTTCTCTCCTTGATTAGTTTCCATCTGTTGCCCTTCCTTCCTTCCTTCCTTCCTTCCTTCCTTCTTCCTTCCTTCCTTCCTTCCTCCCTCCCTCCCTCCTTAATTCCAGTTTGCTTCTCTCCTTGATTAGTTTC